TTAAAACATACATGACGTATTGCTCATTTTGATGATTGAGAAAAACATTAATATTAATTCGATTAGTGTAATGAAATTGTCGAATCTGATAACTAAATTGTACAATGACTCTTTGATTATTCTCATCCACTTCATTTGTAACTTGTAATTCATCGACATCGAGGATCCTAATTTGGTAATGATTAAAACAATTGACAATAGTATGTGGCTTCACATCAATTTGCTGCATAATTTTGTAACGATTAAAACAATTGGCAATTGTTTTTGGCTTCACATCAATTTGATCATGCAACAATTACATTTACAATTCCATCAAGGACACTTATTTTTGTTAGTTTCAAGACACGATCTTCTATCCGTTTCAAAAGTAGGCAATTGAAGCATTGAATTGAAATCTTAATAGTATTAAAACATCAATTGAAATCCTGATACTGTACTACTAAAACATGAATTATAAAGAAATTTTTATTATCACACCTCTATTAAGTTATAACCTCCTTATAGTAATAAAATTAATTAATCCTACAATTATGACTATGGAGAGGTTTTACTGTACATGACAAATTCAATAATATAATAGCTTAATTAAATATAGTATGACAAATTTATGAACATAATATATTGTATAATTAAGTGATATATAATATGACAAATTTAATAACACAATAGCTTAATTAAACTTAAATTAATTACACATTTATATTGATTATCTATTACAATAGACCCTCATACCACTATGAATTTATAGGTGTTGATACAAAGTATATATATAGACAGTAATAATAATATATATATGATAACCAATAATTTTGATAATTTAATAACATATTAAACATATTTAATCTGTGATTAATATATGTATGTAATTTATAGGTATTGATACAAAATATATATGTAGACAATAATGATAATATGTGTATATATATAACAAATTAATTACACATATTTATTGATCATATAATACAGTAGACCAATATATATGTAGACGTTTAAAATATTTATGATAATTTAAGTAATGATAATATATATATATAATTATAATTTTGGTAATTTAATAACATATTTAATATATGATTAATATATGTATGATAATAATTTTGTATATACATAATTACACATTATATACATATAACAAATTAATTACACATATGCAGTAGCAGATCTAGAAATTCATGTTAGGGTAGGCTAAAATAAAATGTAATAGTATATACAACAATGCTACAGACACCGGGGTTTTTACACCGAAATTTTGTACCTGTCTACGTGTCTCCTGACTCAGACCATTCAACGCATTTGACGTTATTAACTTTTTCCTAGTGAACGGCCGTTCATAAAATATGGACAACCGTTCACTTACATGGACTCCCGTCTATATTATATGGACGGGGGTCCATTTACTATGGACGGGCGTCTCCATTTAAAGAACGCTTATCCATCAATAAATGGAATAAAAAATATTAAAAAAAATTAAGGACAATCGTTCATAGGTTATGGACGACCATCCATAAATATTGGACAGGCGTTCATATGTTAATAGATGCCCGTCTCTTAATTTTGGACAAGTGCTCGCAAATAAGTGACGTCCATTATTTTTTTTAGATATAAAAATTTAAAAAAAATCTGGGACGGCTGTCCATACGGAAAGGACGCCCGTCCTTACTCTAATTAAAAAACGTTTACGTTAAAAAAATTTCGGGAAAGTGTTTCAAAAACAAATCAGCCGGGTCTTCTTCTTCTTCTTCCATCTGCGCTCTGGTTCATTGTCTTCTTCATCTCATCTGCGCTCTGGTTCTTGGTCTTCCTCATCCCATCTGCGCTGTTGTTCTTGGTCTTCCTCATCCCATCTGCGCTGTCAGATGGATAAGTGTAAACCATGACCTCCATTTCATATCTTGGGACAACCCTCCAAAACAACACCCACATTTCCTCACTATCGGTGATTATCAGAGGATGGTCGAAAGCAATGCCCCCTTTGCAAGGAAATTTGGCAGGAATGAGCCAGTTCTTGACAAGATTGATTCTGAACTGCTGCGTCGCAATGCTGATGGATATGTACCTGGCGGATGGTTCAGTAAAGAAAGAAATTCAAACTTCAGTGCTCCACGTCATGTCATGACAAACACCAGTAAACTCAGGCCTGGTCCTGGTGCTGAAAGGCTAAAACGCCTTATCATTGGTTTACTATCAACCAAGGATTTTCATAAAAGCCACTGCATCTGACACCAGAATTCCAGTGAAGCAGCCCTCATTCTCCCAGTACTTGATGGGCAGATAAACACTCATCTCTTCATTTATTAATATAAGATTGGTAGCGGCACAGATAACAACCGTGTAGGAATTAAAGGGGAAGAGAAATTACTTCCCGTGCAGAGTATGTGCTATACCTTTTACAATTTTTACCTTCTAAAATGTATTTTTGTAACTAAAGTTGCTGATGCTGGACTCAAATATAGTGTTTATTAGTTTGCATAATCTATGAGAAGTCTCATGGAATCACGCATCACCAACACCGACCCGCAAAAGCTGCTGGATGCTTATAAACTTAACCTTGCATGTCTCATATTTATCATATGGTACTGCTACAATTTTCACCCCATTTGGATTCATAGTCAAAATGAATTCTGTTGTTCAGATAACAACCGTGTAGGAATTAAAGGAGAGGACTGGCTCCACTTGGTCAGTTGTTCAGGAATCAGGCTTGAGACACGGTCAGAATGAATTCTGTAACGTCAAAATCGAGTTCCTCTCCTGCAACAATAGGTTGGTTCAGAATCATCAACCCTTTCCAGAGGATTTAAGAAATAATTGAAAGAGATCTTGGGCCATTCGTTTCAAAGCATCTTAAGATATTTACTTTCTGTAGTGTTGACATTTGAAGCATCTTAAAATAACTGAAAGAGGTCGGGATCCAGGAACTCCTGCTGGAGAACTTCTGCTTAAAAACAGGACTTTAAATATAGCTTTCATTGGGAACTTCACGTCAGATAAGTCTCGTTTGCGTCGACAAGCGAGTTCCCCATCAATGGCATTAACAGCCTTCCCATGATTTGGTAACGGATTCACATCGGGTTCTCCTGTCAACTTTGCGAAGTCAAGCTCGTAGACTCTCTCTCCCTTTGCCTGAACTTTGAGTTTCAGGGCAGTACAATTTTTCCGTGGAATGTCCGACGGCACCTGCGTGATAATCGCATCGAGCGTTAGGGTCGTACCATTTGGAATATGGTGGTTGTAAGGGTGGCCTTCAAATTCACCTAACTAAAGAACCTTTGGTGGAAGAATATAGCATAGCTGCTTTTGTGAGCTCTCTGCTTCTCTTCTCTCTCTCTCCTCTCACCATTTTACAACATCTAGACCTTAAATACATAATGATCAAGCCCTTTCCTTACAGGTGTGGAAGTTGAGTTCATGTGACTTATGTGAGATTGCCCGAAATTCAGAATAAATACGGTGGTTGCAAGGGTGGCCTTCAAATTGTTTTGTTTTAAAAAAAAAAAACAATGGGCGTCCATCTTTATGGATGGCCGTCCATAAAATGTATTTGGACGGGCGTCCATTTTTTTCTTTTTTAAAACAAAACAATTTTTTATGGACGATCGTCCATTCCACTATGAATGACCATCCGGATGTATGGAAAGCCATCTAAAATCGTTGGACAGGTGTCCATTTATATCAATATTCAATCATCTAATGTGACAACCTCCACGTGTTTTGGTGCAATTCTTCGATGAATTAGTATTTTTGTAGCATATAATATTCATATTCTATGTCTTTAGTTCAAATTGACATAAAAGGAAAAACAAATTACATAAAATAATTATTATAATATATATATATATATAATATATATATTATATATATATATATAATATATATATATATATATATATTTTTTTTTTTTTTTTTTAAAATGGGAGGGTAGGCCATGTATACTCTAGATCTACCCCTGCACATATGTATTGATCATATATTACAATAAACCTTCATTTCACTATAAATTTATGGGTGTTGATACAAAATATATATGTGGACATTTAAAATATTTATGGTAATTTATGTAATGATAATATATATATGATAACCTATAATTTTGGTAATTTAACAACATATTAAACATATTTAATCTATAATTAATATATGTATGATAATAATTTTGTATATACACAATTACATATTATATATATATATTAACCCACTCAGCCCAAATTTTAAAACAAAAATCCAAACCCAATTCCACATTTTCCCTTAACCAGCTCAAAATCCAAATCCAATTAATTCAGAGCCCTAATTTGGTTAATTGAACGAACTCAAACAGCCCTTAATTATTCGAACGAGTTATTCGAATAGATATTTACAAGTTATTCAAACGAGTCAATCAAACGATCACGAACTGCTCGTTTGGTTAATCGAACGAACTCGAACAATCATCATGTGTTCATTCGAGTTCGAACACACCTTTGTGTTTATCGAACGAGGTGTTCGTTCGTTTTGGTTTGTTTGCAGGCCTACTTAGAACTTGTAAATTGTTTAAATAAAAAAATAAAGAAAAAGACCATTAACTTGTAAATAAATTGTTTCTCAGATCTTAATTTTGTTCAAATTGAAATATAAAAAACCGGAAAAAAAAGACCGTTAACTTGTAAATTGTTCTCCTATTTTTATTTTTTTTAATTAAAAAAAATATATACAATAGAAGACCACTGACTTATGATACACACAACCGGAGTATAGCTACAGTCACCCTCCCTTACTTCCAACAAATTTGAATCGACATTCACATTTCAATTTCAAAAACCTCTAACGGTCTCTTTTGTTTAATATCTCCGAATCTACAATTTACAGCAAGAAGATCGAGACGATGGAGGAGTACTTACAGTACATGAAGACTTTACTCTATCAAATGAACGGTTCACATCTCTTTATCTCTCTCTCTCTCGCTCTCTCGTTCACGCTTCTAAATCGGCTTCGAATTGTAACGTATTTTTTTTCAAACTTAATGAAACAGAGGTGGAGGATCAGACCACGAAGGTCACGGTTGAAGGGCAAATGCTGATCACCACAATTAACTCCATGGAAAACGACCTCGTTTCTGGTTGTTTTATTATTTTTCTTTTTTGTTTGAAAATCAACGTGAATTTTCAGTTGAACTGATCAAGAATGGTAGATTGATTGTCTGAGAAGTACTAAAATGTGTTTCTTATAAATGAATGTTTCTACTAAAGCACTTATCTAGTGCTTCTACTCCTAGTATTTTTTTTCTTTATACATTCAAAACAGTGGTTTATCCATTGCATCAAATACTGTGAGATTCACATGAGAAGTTCTTTTGATTATTTGAAATTGTATATAGGTGTGTCTGGGACGGCCTTTGTAGAAAAAGGTTTTTATTTGAGTAAAAGCTCATGAAACTGCTCTCAATATAAAGTTCTATTTTTTCATCCAAAAAGTGTTTTTTTTTTTTTTTTAGAAACACTTACAAAAGTTCTTCAATTAGTACGCTTTGTGTGTTAGTGTGCGTGTGTGTATTTTATTTTTTTATTAATTAAATTTGATTTCAAAAAGACTTTTATCCTTTCAATCAAATATTGTAAATTTTTCTAGCTGCACCACAATTACTTCGGAATGCATCCTTAGGTTGTTTTGTTACGTTGCCTTAACAGAAAATTAAGTGATTTGAAAACCTTTTGCCTTTTTTTTTGCTTTGGAAAACTGGGGGTGAATTTCAGAGTGCTATTGTAGATTAGCAAAAGTTTTTTCGCTAATTAGGTGCTGCTATTGAAAGCACTCTAAAAACTTATCTGGAATAATAATCATTTTCTTTGTGCATGTTCATGTGGATTACATATCTCCATTAATTAGTATATAAAAGTATTTGTGTATACTGCAAATTTAGGACAATTTTTTATGCATTTTCAATGATATTAGAAAATTGAACTTGCTTTCAGAGGCCTTTCTACCTCTAATATCCACATGATTCAATTTTTCGGATGATTTTAATACATTTATGTAGGTTCAATCCATTTATAGAGTTGTGGAAACAATTGTATTTATGATTTAGTTCTTTATAGTAGCTGTTTTTATTGGCTGATCTGTTTCCCACTATTTTTGCAGCAAAGTCTGACACAAAGTTACTGAGAGAAGAAGCTGAGAAGATGAACAAGGAAAAGGGTCAGATATGTGCACAGATATTGGCAAAAGAGAGAAAAATTGCTTCTCTGGAGTCTGATTCTTCCACCCTTAACCAGGTGAGATCTATTTTTGTGTGTCTTTGTGCGGGAGCTGAATTGGGCCTCTAGTTGGAAGCCTACAATATCCCTGTTGTGGGAAATTTTCTTTTTCCTTTTTTTCACCCTCGAGTAGCTTACTTGCAAGTACGAGAACATCTGGACAGTAAACCTGAATTGATAAGAACTTCTGTTGTCGGATGGTGCACTTTCTTATAATTTATTGCCATACTTGCTCAGTAAAACGTTTGGGCTAGAAGTATTATACAATTGAAGAGCTAGACATACTGATAAAAACTCCTGCACAACTATCTTTCATGTCGTATACTATAAAATAATTTATTGGCTGGAATAGATCTGTTGTCGGATGGTGCTCTTTCTTATAATTTATTGCCATATCTTTCATTTTCTGATAATATTTTTGTCGCTAACCTAACTTGCCATAATCCTATAATATCTGACTGTGGGGAATTCCTGTTTCTGTATGTATTCTTCTTTATTATGGGAAGTGGGTTGTTGAAGAAACTGTTTCTTCAATCTCAGGGTTGTATATTCTTGATTCATCATTGTTCTTTTAAATGCGCAGACAATGGAGCATATACAAGAAGAAAGAGTTAGCTCATCTAAAAAACTATCAGAGAAGAGGTAATATTTAAGAATATATTGCATTGATTAAGTTCACTGAATGCTATGGACAGTTATTGCCATAATTTCTTAACTACAACAGAGCTTGCTATACTCAAGTTGCAGAGGATATCAAGTTGAAACCAAAGCAAAAACAGGTTATATTTCATGAGCCTCTTCATCTGAATCCACTGTTCTATTTTCAAAAATTTAAATTGCAGTTGATGGTCTCTTTCATATTTTATGTAGGACTGGTTTGAATCTGATTAAGTTCATTGATGTACCTCTTTTTTAATTTCTCTTCATGATAAATGTATGTGCTCCAAATAAAGAGAAACAGAAGGAATGAAGATATTGACTCCCCATGTTTATGATAAATTAATTGTGCATCTAGTCTTTAGGATCCAATGCGTTCTCACTGACTAGCTGAAGGTAACAAAGGTCTTCAGTTTTGCTTGTTGAATATCTTTCTATATTGCTCTAGCAGCTTCTTATTGAGATTATACCACTTCCTTGATAATTGGAATTGCTTGAGTGGTGTTGATGGGTTTGGGAATAATGTCTCACAGTTGAAGATGTGGTAGTAGACACACATCCTTAAAGATACACCTCTCTTTAATGCATGTCTCTTTCCTGGCCAAGAACCAAAAAAAAAAAAAAAAAAAAAAAAAGAAAAACAGAGTAAGTGAGCCTGTATATATATGCATGATCAATTTGTTGTAATTTAGAAATCCCTTCTGTTTATGTAGTCTCTTGTATACTTGAGGGTTGGCACAACATCCAACCTGATGTTGTATTTCTAGTGTACTAAAGATATTTAGATCTTGCTATTGTCTTCAACCACTTGATGTATTTTTTTTGCAATTTTAATTTTAATTTTAACTGCAAATTCATAATCATGTAACTGTGATAGGGTTTTATGGTTTCCTCTGTGTTGCTATCATCTATTCTACTTTTCTCGATAGCGTATAGATAAAACTTTTAAGATTATCAAATTTGTGCAATTCTAATGATTAGAAATCATTCAGGTCAAGGGAATAAGTGATGAGCAAATGGCTGAAACGGAAGGTACTTGATTTTAGGGAACAAGTTGGCTTTAACCATGAACTGGTGATTTGGGATTTGATACAATTTTCCTGAGCACCTGTTAAGTTATTGATGACTTTTAGTTGTTTATTCACACACATGGGCAGATACACGCTTTATGCAGATGCATTTTCCCTCTTTCGTAATTGTTTGTCTACCTTGAAATTTTACAATGTTAAAACAAGTCCAATGATAAACACTTTTGACATTGAATATTTGTGTACCAATATACCAAAATTTCCCTTAATCCAGAAGGTGAATGTTAACATTACAATTGTTTGCTGGTTGCTTACAGTGAGCGAATATTTTGGAAAGACCTTTGCATTACTTATGTGTCAATTTCAATCAGCAGGCTTAAATTCTAGTCAGAAACCTTAGTTATTATCATGCTTTTCATTATTTTTGCAAAGGTCATCAAACATCCCTTAATGAAAGATCTGAACTACCAGTAGGAGGTACAGCTAGGGAGGTTTATTCATATTTAAGGGGCAAGACTTTTCTGTTCCATGAGCCGTAGGGGATGTCTGTTGAGGACCTTTTACTGAAAATGTAGGCTTTTAGAGAACAATGTTTATTTAAACACTTCCAAGTTTGGGCCTTGCCTAAGAACTTTGTAACTGTACAACAAAATGCAGGTGTGCATTATAGAGAGGGAAGGCTCATATGATTTCTAAGCTCAAAATCTCATTTATATGGTACACGTTGTGACATACATGAGAAAGAGAAAAGAAGAGAAATAAGGGAAGATCCGGTCTTGTTTACAAAACTTTATCACAAAGAGCTAACTCAAAATTGCAAGATGTTCTTACGATGAGTGATGGTCTATTTAAACTGATAACTCTGATCTGATTGTAGTCATTGATGCCTAAAATTTATTAACCTTAAACAATATTATTCTTTCATCTTATTTAACTTTTCCTGCAGGGAAATGCGGCATTGATAACAATAACTTCATGGACAATAAGGTAAATAACTTTTATTAATATCATTAGATATACGGTGTTGCAATTTTCTAATTAATTTTTGTTATAACAGAGGAGTGAAGTTAGGGAGACCTTGATGGCTAATTTGGTTTCAGTTGAATACAAGCTTGATGAAATTGCACAGAAGACATTAAAACTTGTTCAGGAGAACAAAAAGGTTACTTAAGCAAGATTTTAATTGAATGTATATGTATTTTCCTATTTGGAAGATGGACCATGTCTCAATTTCAGTATCTTTTTTTTTCGGTGAAAGCCTCTAGATGTCCCCATACTCGAAGGTATGAGACTAATTCCCGATTGGGGCTTGGGTAACTTAATCTTGTAGTTTATATGTGTAGCAAGAATTTGTTACTTCAATTTAATTTCAATTCGCTAAAGTTTTGTCTCCAGTCTTGGCTAATGCCAAAAGTTACATTTTTTACTTCCATTCATCATTTGTAATGTATTTCATCAAGTGAAAAGTTGTTTTCTTATTTGTCTGATTGTAGATCAGAGTATGCATTCCAAGTGTAGCATGTAAAACATTGATGATCATTGAGTAAATTCAATTTAAAATTTGTGACGCTATAGTAAGTCACTTGATTATCTTGGATTGAATCTGCTTATAAGTTTAGGTACCTAAAACTAATTGTCTTGAGAGTGGATAAAAGTGCTTCTTGAATTAATGTTTTGACTGTTTTTGCATTTCGGTTTACCTTCCTTATTGGGCAAATTTCTTTTGAAGCTTAAATGTTTTCTGCTTTCCCAGTGGTGTAAGACTTACATGTGACTATGTCAATACATTTGGTTCTTAGTCAAGTGGATCTAATTCTTCACAAGAAACTACTTGTATGCTGTTGTTTTTAATTTTATCAATCCCTTATATTCATTTGTTACTCTTGGACGTGTTTTTAGATGAATGATTCCTTTGAGCAAGTGAAGTGCAGGGCAATCAAATTGAAGGTTAGTTCTCTACCCAAGATCATGTAAATGTTTTCATGTGATTGCCCTCAGGCTTGTGCATAGATAATCACTATAGAATGAAATCAACTATTGCCCGAATATAATGTTTTCTTCGCGGAGAGATCGGGTTGCCCAATAGAAATATTGTTTAACATCCATATATCCATATCTTTTGGACAATAATTGAGTCGTGAGTGGTGGCTCTTAATTTTCTATTTCATGTACACATATGTAGAAACTAATTATTGGCATCTTACTTTAAATATGGGTAACTATAGCCAGAGATGTTGGCAATGGATATAGAGACCTTGGAAGAGGAACATGCAGCTCTTCTATCAAATAAGGATGGAGAATCCAAGTTTTGGGAATGCCTAAAGGACCAAATTGAGCAAGTCAAGGTGAATACAGTTGGTAGCTTTTTCTTTATCATACATAAACTAAGCATTTTAGGATTTACTTGATCAAAACCTGAAATGGCCTTTGGTTTTTTACCAAAGCAAGGTTTAAGAAGAAAAGGTCCTCATTTGGTGGCTAAAAATGAAACTCTTAATACAGTGGGGTTTTGTTGCTCATGGTTGTGGAACTCAATTACGGTTGGGAAAGTTTTTGCCTTCCAGTTACTAAAAGTCATTCTGAATTCTAGTAAACGTGTGATTACTTTTCTATATCAAATTCCAATGTGCTGAAATGTGATTGTGGAGAGGAATACAAAGTGGTAGTGAATCTTTAATCTCAGAAAAGTATAATAGCAATGAAACTTAGACAACTCAAAAGGCTGAAGAAACAAATTCGTAGTTGACAGGTAATCAAATGCGAAACAAAACTAGGAATTGATCCTTACAACTTATAATGCGAAGGGATTATGACATCTTTTGCTTATAATTCCGAAATATCATTTCAGATTGTTTTTAAGACTTTAATAAGGAAATTATACCATGTACACAAATTTACATTCCATATTATTCTATATTTAGTATTTTAGTGTCCTTGTACAATTGAAATATCTCATAAGTTGAGATGCATATTCTTCTATATATGGTACTCATATCCTTGCTTTTGCATTAATGATGAGAATATAAACACTTGAAAGGAAAATATAGTAAAGATCATAATCACTTGATCTCAAGAACCCTCAGAGCTGCCGAGATATCCTGGGCTTCGTAACTTCCCTCCACAAGGGCAATGTTAGGGCTGTCCTGTGGAACTGAATCTTCTCTTTAGAACTCTCTTCACCATGAAGAAGCTTCTCAGTGCCACAGTCCAAGGTGCCTCTTACAATTACAGTCTTTTGGAGGCCAGCCAGCAGGTTTTCATAGTCTGTGTCTCCTCTGTCACCCACAAACACTACTGTTTTTGAAAGATTAATTCCCTACCTAATTGATAGATACCTGCACGGCATATGGTAGCAACATAAATGTACCGGAGATTTCAAGTTTCACTTTACTACAACTGATTGATCGTGATCTAATGTGATGATTGTGTACAATATCTGATATGCAGTGAAAAGAGGTCTAACCTGAGAGCTTGTTTTCTTGATGCAAATAGTGGTATCACATTTAACCTTGATGCTGCGCATGTGTAGACAAGGTTGCATCAGAATCCTCTCATCTGCAGCCTTTGGCGAAGGTCATCTACTCTTCGAGTCTGCCATTTGTATGTTAAATTTGTCTTTAGTTTTGTTACCAAAAAATGCATCTGTCAAGCTATTACCTGCAATTTATATCAGTATTTTTGAACATTGTCATAAAAATTGCAGGTAATCCTCTCATCTGCAGCCTTTGGCGAAGGTCATCTACTCTTCGATTCTGCCATTTGTATGTTAAATTCGTCTTTAGTTTTGTTACCAAAAAATGCATCTGTCAAGGTATTACCTGCAATTTATATCAGTATTTTTGAACATTGTCATAAAAATCTTACCTTGGCCCCTGGTTTTATGCTGTAAGAGTAGCATCTGGAACTGCATGCATCCACATACTCTGCAATGTCATCATCCTCATCTCCATCTTCTCGCAAGCCTAATCACCATTGATCTCACATTCTCACCAGGCCATTTGTATTCTACATGGGCTTCGCAGTCCAAATCAGCCACCATATCTCTCCATGGGTAATATAGTTCACTTCCACTGTTACATATTATTGCATGAAAATCTTCCATATTTACTGGGCAGCTTTTGATTGCTTCCATAGTCTCCCATAAACTCGAACCGGTTACCAATATGAAACCTACTTTGCCCAAGGCTATACTCAATCCTGCTGCTTTCATCACATTCTTGATTGTTGTTTGAAACTTCTCTGTGATATTGCTGTTGCTTTCATAGCAATCAGCAGCTATTACAGAGAGCATCTGCCTTCTACCAGGACTGTGAGTGACACTGGCACTGCCATTGAAGGAAGCCTTTTGGGTGATGGCTTCAATGAGTTTTTTCTGTCGCGTTGCTGCATCAAGCTCCCCATTAAGCTTGAAGTCTCCTTCTATGGAGACCTTTAAAGAAAGATCTTCCACATCTTTTAGAGAGTCACTCATTTGTTCTTCAGGAACGTTCATGATCTCATGACGTGTGGTTGGGTGACGGTTCCTGTAGTGTTCTACATGTGAGAGGTAGTTACGGCAGTGTTCTGTCCATGACAAGCGGTGGATTTTCTTGAGTCCATTTTTTTGACAATCAGACTATTTCTTTTTCAGCAACCAGCTTTAGGAGGGCATCTGCTACGGCTTTCTGATCATGCGGGTCAATTAGGAGACCATTGTTAAGCACCTGGTGGTAAAACAGAGTCCTCTGTTACTATCAGTCTGAGTCATAAGGTGATACTATGATTAATTCATTAGGTGGCCAAAATTTCCCATCAAAGCTATTTCTGTCATAATTTCATAGTTTGGAGTGTTATAAGATAGGTATTTTTGAATTCTGCATAATTTTAGTCTAGGCATGCATTTCTTCTACCACAACTTTCTATAAAGGATGAGAAATTTGGAACCTTCACAATGTCCACAGGTCCCCCGTTCTTTGTGGCAATAATAGGAAGACCATAGGCAGCTCCCTGCAAGATTTGATATATTAAGATTTTTTTGATATATTTAGGCTTAAATGTTTAAAATGCTTCAGAATTTTTTCAGGTCTGTCAAGTGCTCCTTTTATAAGATTCAGAATGTTACTAAAAATTGAAGGATTCAGTCAATAGAACACAGAGATATAACTCGATGAGTGTGAGACCGAACGGTTCCACAAGAGCTGGATTGATGAAAACTCCCTTCAAGAGACAAAGCCGCCATAGAAGTACCAATCGCAAGTCTATATTTACGCAGGATTAAAGCTCAGATTAGGAGAGGATTCTGATCCTATCTGATTTAGACGGAGGTGTTTCGAGAATAAAATACTACTATGTCATGAGAACTGTATATGGCTGAAGATGGGTATGAATTTGATAAGCTAAATTGTGATTATAATGAGGGCAGAGAGTGAGGAAGATCATCACTTGCTAACTTGAACCATTTAAACTCTCTTACCTTTTACACAAAACAAACACTTTGCAGGCAGAAAGAAGACTTAGGACCACACACGCAAAGGCAATTTTTTATGATAGTGTGAACAAACATAAATCCTTGTAAGTGTTATTATCTCTCACCTTCCTTGATGTTTAAGGAAATATTAGTAAAACCTCTCTTTAACCAAGAAATAGAATGGTCAAAATTAACAAGATCAGGAGAGATAAGTGTTATTTATATATGTTTAACGGCAAAGCATATCACAGAAATTTTTGACTGGTTATGTTGTGTTGTGCTCCTCATATGCAGAATTGATTTGCTTCTAAGGCTAACTATACTGGAAAGGATTCGATCGGCTTGCCTAACCAACAAATCAAATTGGTTGGCTATGCTTTGGTCACTGCACTCTATTCTTTCTTTATTCTTTATGTTCCAATCAGAAGGCATATCATACAACTGTTTGACTGGTTATGATTTGTTTGTTAATATGCAAAATTCATTTGCTACTCATTCTAGCTATGCTGAGAACTTAAAAGCTCTGTTACCAATCAGCAGAGAAAATACTCTAGTGCTCAATGTCTAGGTTTCACATTTGCTTGGTGAGCTTCCTCAAATCTATAATTGTATTTCCTTGTTGTTCTTGTCTATCTCGAAAAAAATATGCTGTTATTGACAATGTTGCCGAAAAGAACTTGTAATTGGTGAAAGGATCTATCTGCGGCATACAGAATATCATCACTGTCATCTGTGATTCAATATAATAGTTTCTTTTTTATGTCACAGTGTGCTTTCCGTGTTAAGTGATCATCCAATGATGCATTGTGTTGACTAGGAGGTCCAACATCATGTTAGGAGCATGGCAGGAGCAAAATTTAATTAAAGAAATTGGTGATTTATAACAAGTATAGCATGATTTACATGCACTTTCCCTCTTATGCACTTTCAATTGTTTAGATACCATAATTGTTTTTTATTTAGTTATTTACTTTCTCTTCACAGAGGAAGGAAAAAGAAGTTATAATCTCTCATTGTGGATTACGCCTACTGATAAATTGATCATTGGACTCAAATGGTTACTTATAATCTCTCAATGCTCAATATTTTTCTTCATTCACTGATGTTTAATTTGAAAGCAAATCATTCCACTGTGTGACTGGTTCTGTTGTTTCCTTAAACTGCAGAACTGATTCAATAATTGTTAGTCATGCTAGTGAGGCTAGTATTTAGAAATATTGTTACTGATTAGCTGAGGAAATTCAAAAGGCTACAGCAATCAAGTACTAACTTATCAATGACAGAAACTTCATTGAGGACATTGTAAGAAAGAAAAAATGATGGTGATGAAACAAATTGGGTATCATGGAGAATAGTATCAGGAAGTTATCAGAAATGAGTCAAATAGTGTTTCTGCCCGGAACATCAAATTAATTAGTTATGCTTGGTAACTTCTCTCAATTCTTCCATTTATTGTATGTTCAATTAAAAGCTTATCTCAGAAAGTTTTACATGGTTATATTGTGTTTCTTCATATGCAGAATGGATTTCCTAGTGAGGTTTATTTGCTGAGAATTTTCTGTAAAGGATTCAAATGGGCTGCCTGCCACACAGATTACGTCGGTTAGTTATTCTCAGTCACTGATCTGTTTTATTTTTTCATTTATTCATGTTCCAATCAGAGAGTGGATAGAGAATTGTTTGACTGTTATGCTTCTTCTAAATTTTAACATCCAGAATTCATTTGCTACTCATGCTAGCTTTGCCAAGAATTTAAAACTCCTTTACCAAGCAGAGAAAATACTGAAGGCCAAAGCTATGCAGACCAAATTCAATTGGGTGGATGGCTGAAACTTCATTGGCGCTCAAGTGGTCAATGTCTAGTTTTTCACATTTGCTTGGTGAGCTTCCTCAGGTCTATATTTCTATTTCCTTCTTGCAATGTATCTTTCTTGAAAATAAATTGCCATAGATGATAGACATTATCCAATGCGTATCCGATGATGCATTGTGGTGACAAGAAAGTACAAATCATGGAATGAGCATGCTAGATGGCAAACTTTAATCGAGGAAATTGGTAATAGATAACAAACTATAGCATCATTACTTATACTTGCTCTAGATGCTCTATGTTTTTCTTCATTTA